GTAGATGGGACTGGCCATTCTTGAATTGCCTGGACTTTTGTTGGGTCGGTGGAGACACCAGCCGCGCTAAGGACATGACCCAAGTAGGCGATGGAACGCTAGGCAAATGAGCATTTGGAGAGCTTGAGTTTCCACTGGTCCTTTCGCAGCCATGACAAGACTTGCTTCAGGTGATCAAGGTGTTCTTCCAGAGAGTTGTTGTACACCAAAATGTCATCGAAGAAAACGATCACGAACTTGCGCAGACCTGGTGCTAGGGTACAGTTCATAGCGCCTTGGAACGAACCCAGAGCGCCAGTCAACCCGAAAGCCATAACACAAAACTCATAATGGCCGGTATGAGTCTGGAAGGCCGTTTTGTGCTCATGCCCATGTTGTAGCAGTATCTGGTGAAACCCTGCCCGCAAATCCAGCTTGGAAAACCAGCTGGCCTGATGCAACTCATCGAGCAACTGGTCAATGACTGGAACTGGATACTTAGACTTGACTGTAAGAGAGTTCAGCTTCCGAAAATCAACACAGAACCGATAGGAATTGTCCTTCTTCTTAACCAGTAGCACAGGTGAGGAGAACAAACTTGTACTCGGTTGGATAAGACCCTGAGTTAACATCTCCTCGACTTGGCGCTCGATTTCATCCTTCAGTGCAGGCGGGTAGCGATAGGGGCGGATATAAAATGGTTGAGCCCCTAGCAAAAGAGGAATAGCATGATTGCACGCTCTTGATGGAGGAAGAGAGTCAGGCTGCTGGAAAAGATCATTGAATTGCTCCAACAGTGCTTGCACTTTGACAGGTAAACGATCAGTAACTGAAGCATCCGATTGGTGGTCCACTGTACACACTTGGAAGAGGAGCTCTGTTGGTGAGTCAGCCAATTCACCTTGCAATATCACAGAATGGCCCTCATAAGGGATGCTGAGCCACTTATGCTTCCAATGGACGTGCATTGGGCTAAAGGATTCCAACCAGTCCATGCCGACTATCATATCAAATGCAGCTAAAGGAAGAACACGAAGATCAGATGTAAATGAATACTGCCCAATTGACCATGGTAGCCTGAGCAATGTAGAAGGACTATGCAAGGATCCGCCACCAGCGATGCGGACGCTACAAGGAGTGGCCTGAACAGCAACATCCTGAAGACGAGCAGCCACTGCAGCACCGAGGAAAGAAGAAGAACTTCCCGAATCCAACAATATATTTATGGGATGGCCTTGAATACTACCTGAAAACCGGACAGTACGAGGTGCTGGTGTTCCAGTAACTGCACTCAGAGAGATGGCCAAGAATGCTTGCTCTTCGTCTGTTGGTGTCGTAGGCGCTGGAGCTTGGTCAGCATCATCAGGCAATAAGTCCCATAACTCTTGGACGAGGTGAAGCTGGACCTGCTAACTGCATTTGTGGTCCTTACTCCACTTCTCCCCACACTTGTAATAGACGCCCATGGCCCTCTGATAAGCCTTGACCGCGGACAGTTTAGTGTCGAGGGAAGCAGCGCCAGGCGTCTCCGTTGCCGCAGGCACAGCTTGCGGCTTCTCAACACGAGGTGGTGGAGGAGGCAGCGGCAACGCCGTCCGTGGCGTGAATTTGCCTGACATAGCCCAATCACTCTTGTAAGGCGCGCAAGCTGGCGATGGGGTGCCCACCTCTTCCTGCACCAAAGCCATGGAAATCGCAGCATCCAAACTCTGGGGGCGAGAAACTAGAATAATAGCTTTGAGCTCGGCACGAAGGCCATCAACGAATCTCATGGTATAAAAGAGTGGGTCAGTAGATGTGGAGTAGGCTTTGAGCTGATCGATAAGCTTGGTGAAATGATCAACATACTCAGAAACGGTGATGGCTTGCTTAATTTGGAAAAGCTGACGGATAAGAGCCTCGTGCTGATCACGGTCAAAGCGGGAATGGAGTGCTTGACAGAAGGTTGTCCAGGTGGCTATGGCTGGTGTATTGTCAATGGATTCGTACCAGCACGCAGCAGTGCCTTCGAGGTACATGGATGCGACACTAACCCACATAGAAGGATCAACAGAGTTCATGTTGAAGTACTTTTCACAATTGGAACGCCAAAGGCGAGGATTCTCACCATTGAATCTATTGAAAGGAAGCTTGGGTAAGCGACCGGGGTTGGGGTTGTGCTGGTGGAAATTGGGTGAAGGAGATTGGAACATGGGTTGGTGGATTGGTGGTTTTGGGGGTATGGTGATCGGAGGGGGTGGGGGTGGCGGAGGTGGGCGATATGGAAGGGGAGGTGTTTGGCGAGGCATGGTTGAAGGTATGGGGTGAAACTGTAATGAAGGAACGGCAGATGACATGCTATGGAAGGGTAAAGATGGAGCAGGAGGAGGGTCGGGAAGCTTACCCATGGCCGGGACATTGGTCCAAGTCATGGCTGACCCAAACCCAACATCCCGGTAAGGAGGTACAACGCCGTGCCCACTGGGCGTTTCGACGGCCGCACCGGCAAGAGCACGAGCAGGCGTCGAGGAAGAAGAAGTGCCAACGCTGAACCATTGCGGCGAAGCGTCGAACCCCTTGCGGTCAGGCGCCTGGGAGAGCTTCTTCACCTCGACCTTCAGATCGTCCACGAGGGCCTCGATCTCCGGGCGCCAGGCACCGAGATCCGTGGTGGCGACCTCGAGGGCTGTGACGCGGTCGGCGCTGTCGGAGGTGAGCTTGCCGCCGCGTAGAGCTTCTAGATCGGCGACCTGCTTGCCGATGTCGGAGGCGAGTTCGGAGCAGGTGGACTCGAGGGCGTCGAAGCGCTTGTCGACGGCGGCGGCGTGGTCGGCGCGGGCGCGGTCGAGGTCAGCGAACCGGCCCTTCCACTGCTCGTCGTGGTTGTCGAAGCGGCGGTTGTAGTCGTCGCGGGATTTCTGGATCTCGTCGAGGATGACCTTGAGCTGTGGATCCATGGCGCCCAGCGTGCGGCGGAGGCGGGTGAAGTGCTCGTGGTGGATCTCGTGGGGTTCCAGCTCGATACAGGAGAACGAATCGGATCAGGATGGAGCGGCGAGGGAGGCGAGCAGGATCGAAGAAGGCAAATCCGATACCAATTGTGAGCACGGGGGAAGTTCCTTGCTCGGGAAGAAGAACAAGATAGGAATATTCGACTGGAATACTGAACTGAATGTAAGTGCTCGGAAAGAAAATAACTACGGCATATTTCCTCCTTCCCCTCTCATCCTTGCTCACTCAAGTATTTATACTTCTATGCCTATGCCTTCCATTCTGGGCCAGTTAGCCTAACGTTGGGCCGGCGCTCGCGGACGGGCCTGGCCTGCTTACTTGTGGATGCTTCATTAGAGTGAGACACTGGCACTGTAGAAGGCGTGCTGACAAGAGTTAGCCATATCTGACGCACAAAGTCACGGACAAGTCCAGGGATGAAGAAAATAAATTATAACTTGTTCAACATCTGACTGACCAAGTCTTGCCGTGTCAGAGAATTGCCAGCAGCATCTGACTGACGGAAGTCCCACACAGCACACCACAACTGCCTGACCATGTGTTGTGGAATCGCAGTACGTTCACTGATCAGCAGTGCAGGTTTCAGACTTTCCATCTCTGTGACAATTTGTGCCGGGTACGGCCGATTATAATGAGCATTGCCAAATTATCATATATGGAACTGTTAATATCTGGGCAGTCAAACTTTTTCGTCTGCTTTCGCAGCAAGAACAAGCTCTGAATTCTCAGAATCGGTGATACTGATTCTGAATGGAAGGGCAGTGCTTTTCCATAATCTGCACCTAAGAGGTTGCATGGCAGAGCAGAGCTTCACCAACAGGTAGACAAACGTCACAATCTGTGGTAGAGCTGTCAGCATAGAGCCTGTTGCATCTTCCAGGTGCTCACCATTGGCTTCATTCAGTTAAGTCCACTTAGCTTTCAGAGTCTAGTTTCAGAGCCTGTTGTTTCAGAGTCTAGTTTCAGAGCCTGTTGTTTCAGAGTTTCAGAGTCCTTTGGTGTTCAGCTAGTTGGACTATCAGACAAACGTCACAATCTGTGGTATAGAGCTTTGCACACTCTCCTTGTGACAAGACAGCAGGTTTAAGCTCAGTGGGTTTAAGTCACCGGTGAAGCATAGGCTCTGCTTGGAACTACAAGCTGATAATTTGTTCCATCTCATGACTGCGAGAAGCAGATTCCGCTTATGGTGCGGACTCTTTCATCCTTGCAGAGATATGAGCGACAAGGGTGCTCTTACCGGCTCTTCCAGGACCAACAATAGGCAGGACCTCGAGTTCTCCAGCACCATAAGAATGTGTGTGCATAAGAAGTTGATGGCACATTCTGTTTCCACCTGACGGCCAAACAAACAATTATCCAGCTAGAGATGCATGCTGTAAGGCCGGCTGTAAAGCATGAAGAAGACCAGTACATCCACGTCTTTAATCATGGTGCTCAATACATCAAGCGCCTCTTGTAGTTTTCCCAAGCTCTGCATATTCCTACCAGAGAAATTGGGACCCTGACCAGAGTTTGCTTTGAACAGAGACACAGAGCGACTCACGGTTTGATGTTTGTCATCCTCAACAAAGTGAGGCTGGAACTTGAAATTATCATGCAAATCAAATGAATGACCGGAGCCAAAACAACCCTTTTTGGTTTCATATAAATTATTAAAAACGAATTCTCATCCACGAAAAGTTGATTCGCTCCGACTCTCAAATTCAAAGGACATTTTCATTTTGTCTGGCATTTTATTGTTTTCAAACACAGGGAATGAAAACTCTGTTTCGCCAAAGTCCAAACCATGGTACGTTATATTTAGAAATGTGGAAGCAAATTAAAATGTACTAAAAAAAATATTCAGATACGAGGACTGGCTCAGAATTTTTTTATTGCTTTTCTGTACCATACTTTTTAAATGTATCCCGGAATCAAGAAAACACAGACAACGTTTGCAGTTGCCACAAAAACAAGCACACACTCCAGACAACAAACTCGTCACAAGAAAGACATCTTTTGTAACCAACCATTTCAGTGACTACTAATTACTCTCCAAGAGCAAAGGCAGCAGCATCAAAGCTGTCGTAGAGGCCAGTGCCAGTCTTGAAGGTGACCTTCTCTGGCGAGTCCTCCGGGACATAGACCTCAACGACGCTGAACCAGAGCATCAGCTCTTTGGTCTTCACGCCATTGATCTTCCTCAGCTTGCCTTTCTCGGCGAATGCCGTCACCTCGGCTGCGTACGACACGGTCTGCTTGATCTTCTTGAAGGTGTGCTCCACCTTCTTCTTCCCCTGCACCAGCCAAAAGAATCCTGTGTTGCGGTTGTACCCGAACTCCTGGATGTCCTCCATTGGAAGGAGGCCCTTGGGGAGGCCTAGCTCCTCCAGCAGCTCAACAGACTTCTTCCTGCATGCAGCATCTCCAGTGACAACTGCTGCACCGGCACGGTGGCTTTCGATGGACTGGGACGCCATGGTCTACAGATGGAATGAGACTGTACTTGTAAACTGTAGCTGGTTGCTTTTGAGAGTGATGAAGTGTTTGTGTCATGGAAGATGGAACAGCAGCACATATATAGGCAGGCAGCTTGTACAAAGCAGTGCAAGAGGACGTGCAGTCTTGTTTGACTCTGCTGACAAGGGCCATTGTGGCGTGCTTTCTAGTCCGGCGTGCTGAACTGAAAAATTGACCATTTCTCTTCACGTCCCAGCTGCAGTTAATTATAAGGAAATGAATCAATACTTGTCTAAATGTTATTTAGCTGCTCCTAATGCAGGCCTTTGTTTGTGAAGAGTGGATAACTTTCTGGGCTACGTATTATTGTCATCCTATCTTGGCCACTTTGATGAGAATTTTGGAAATTAATGTCAAACAAACAGATCCGTTTATATTGTTGGACTTGTTTGGCATCACTACTTTTGGAAGTCAGATTATAGTTCCAAAATTTAACATGTGCAGTGGGAGTTCTCCTCTATGAATTCCTCGAATAGAGCCATCAAATTCACTTTTATTATGTTCTGAAAATCCTGATTTTTTTAGGGAATCCATCAGGTCTCGGAGTTGAATATGAAAAATGGGCTCTTTTACCTTATATTCCGAAAAGCTTTGTGTGAGGAGGTCATTTTCAACTTCTGTACCTTGAGGGATGTCTTCTATTCAAGTGTCATCCATTGTCACAAATGTGGGCCGGGGTTCAGTCACTGGTGAAGCATAAGGCTCTGCTCGGAACTACAATCTGACAATTTGTTCTGATCCGTACAAGAAGATTCCACTTTTGGTGCGGACCCTTTCATCCTTGGAGATATGAGTGACGAGGGTGCTCTTAGCCTCTTACCAACTCTGCCAAGACCAACAATAGGCAGGACTCTGGTGGAAATTGAGGGCATATTCTGTTTCCACCTGACGGCCAAACAAGCAATTATCCTTATCCAGCAGGAGATCCATGCTGTAAGGCTGACGGCAAATCATGAAGAAGACCAGTACTTGAACATCTTTAGTTGTGGTGCTCGATAGATCAAGCGCCTCTTGTAGTTGTCCCAAGCTCTGCATACTTCTACCAGAGAAATTTGGACCCTGTGCAGAGTTTGCTTTGTACAGAGACACAGAGCTACTCACGGTTTGGTCTTTGTCATCCTTAACAACGTGAGGCTGGTACTTGAAATTGTCATGCAAAACAATTGAATGAACAGTGCCAAGACAATCCCTTTTGGTTTTATAAATTAAAAAAGGACATGTCATTTATTCATTTCTGAAAAGGGAAAAAGGAATATCAATTACGAAATATTTTACATAGTTTTAGTTTTAAGAACACAGAGCTCATGCGGTATGTTTTATAGCATTAAGCAGACTGAGGTTTTCCCATGCCCACCATTTTCTGTCTCCTCCGGTGACCACTCATTCCCCAGGTGCAAAGGCAGCGGCATCGAAGCTGTCGGAGAGGCCAGTGCCGGTCTTGAAGGTGACCTTCTTTGGCGAGGCCTCTGGGACATACACCTCGACAACGCTGAGCCAGAGCATCAGCTCCTTGGTCTTCACGCCAGTGATCTTGCTCAGCTTGCCCTTCTCGACGAACGCCGTGACCTCAGCGGCATACGACACCGTCTGCTTGATCTTCTTGAAGGTGTGCTCGACCTTCTTCTTCCCCTGCAGCAGCCACATGAACCCCGTGTCACGGTTGTACCCGAACTCCTGGATGTCCTCCATTGGAAGCAGGCCCTTGGGCAGGCCGAGCTCCTCCAGCAGCTCAATGGACTTCTTCCTGCACGCGGCGTCTCCGGCGACGACCTCTGCACCTGCACGGTGGCTCTCGATGGCCTGGGACGCCATGGTTTACAAATGGAGCTGTGAGTAGCGGCGAGAAAGAGATTGTAGCTGGTTGCTTTTGAGAGTGATGAAGTGTTTGTGTGGTGGGAGATGGAAGGAAGAGCAGGACATATATAGGCAGGCAGCTTGTAGAGAGAAGCAGCGCAAGACGACGTGCAGTCTTGTTTGACTCTGCTGGCAAAGGGCGTTGAATTTGACAAGGACCACTGTGGTGTGCTTTTCTGTTCCGGTGTGCTGAACTGCAAAATTGACCGTTTCTCTCCACATCCAGCTGCACTGAACTAGTACTAGCAGCTATATAAAAAAAGCAATCAATACTTGTCTAAATGTATATTTTAGCCGCTCCCAGTGGAAACCTTTGTTTGTGAAGGGCGGATAAATTTTGGAAGCTAATGTCCAACAAACAGGTCGGTCTATATTCTTGGTTTTGTGTGGCATCGCTATCCAGAAGTGGGATTATAGTTCTAAAATTTAACATTTGCAATGGGAGTTCTCCGCTATACAGCTCCTTAAATTGAGCCATCAAATCCTCTTTTATTATGTTACAAAAATGCCTGAGAATTTTTTTAAAGAAAATCCATCAGCTCCCGGAAAGCTTTTGTGTTAGAAAAAGTTTGGGATTCCTTATATAAAATTATCTTCTATATTTTGGGAATGAGATTTTTGAAATGGTTAAAGGAACCAAACAAATGTGCTCCAACTTTTTTAGCCACTTGGAAAACTCATTGATTTACCAATAGCCTTTTTTTTTTTGGAACTCTTGGAGATGCACTCAGTAGGCAACCAACTCAAACGTAGAGGTTGGAGTGGCACCACTGGTGGAAGAGTCCCCAATATCTTAAAACAGTGTGGGTATGGTGAGATATGTCTCTAGTAAGGCCTGTATCATGTTTGATTGAATTTCAAGTCCCAAGCTTTCAAGAGTCAAGACTAAAATTCTATTAAATTCCTCAAAAGTTTGTTGCCCATTATTAGCCAAAGTAAATTACTTGCCAGATAGAACCAACTCTGAGGTAAAGAGCATTATTAATGGCGTTAAATAGAAAAGTTGTATGTGCTGCCTCTTTATGCTGTTACAATCATCAGCTATTAAAATAGGTAAATTCTCTTTAGCGTATAAGTGGGCCAATTCTGTCAAGAAAGCCTCCTTATTTTAAATGTAACGAAGAATTCTCCTTCCTCTATTTCGCTTTTAACAAGAGTAAGCAGATTAAAGCATGTTCTCTTGGGCTTCTGCACCGCTTAGGTCTTAGTGTTGGGATCGCTTTGTGTCTGCCTCCTCTCGGATCATAGATGTTGACAGTCATTAACACTAATTATAAATAGTCAACATAACCTGTATATATACTTAATTCCATCACCAAACATAGTTATAGGGTTTGATTCTAACAAGTTCTACGAGTTTTGGTGCTCTCACTTGTCTTGCAGGATATTTATTTTTTCACAGAACAAAATTATCTCAAATGGTGAATTGAAGTGCACCATTGCGAAGAGCTTGTCGAGCTGATCGAAACGGATATATTATTTTCTATATTTGGAGCTCAAAATGAAAAGATATAAATTTCGTAAATAAAAGAAAAACTCCACATCATGAGCTGCGGGATTAATTGGGTCCAATTCAGAATTTGGCCCATAAAGGCCATGTGCATTTTAATAAGATATGGTGAAAAGTTTAGTACCAATGAGGCTAATTAAGAGAGGGAGGGTGCTAGACACCCCCATGTATAGCAGCCCCTAGCCCCTTCCCTGGAGCCATCTTGGAAACCCTAATTCATATCTCTCATTCAGATCAAGATACACCAGGAGGAATAGGTCTAGAACTTTTCAACGTAGTAGATTAGTAGCTCGGGAGTAAGGGTCAAGTTGGGCTCATGCTCAAGTTTCGGATCTAGTTCTGAAGGCTCGGTAAAGCCTTACATCTTCACTTCTACATCTTGTAAGACTTATTGTCAATTCATCATATTCCTATCTACATGGCTATGCTTACTTTTAATATGTATCTTGCTTAGTTGAGGTTATCATTACTTTTGTGCACCGGTTCATAGAGCGCTTAGCTTGCTAGTTTACCATGGTTGGGCTAAGTAGCCGAGCCGCGTGTAAGTATGGTGCTTATACGATGTTCTGCCGTTAATATACTCTGTTCTCTGGTTGTATGGTAGCAGCGGGAGGTGGCAGCCCCATCTATCCTTTGTAGTCCATACCGAATTGAGCAGAATCTTAAATTGTAGGACCGTAGTCGCGTTAGTAGAGTTATCCTTCGTGATGCTCTATTATCTAAGCGGCGTCCCGAAGTGCACAAGAGTAGAGTTAGTCTTAGCTATAGTTGGGTGTATATATACTTTGACTATGTAATAAGAATTTCATAGGAATCTACCTCACCCGTTATTCTCCCGAGTTGACTAGTTTATATTATTTTAGTGATCTATCCCCTAAGTGTCATTATGCTTAATTCCTATCATTACCTTAACCCTTTGCTTTAGCTATGCTGGTATGTTGATTAGTAGACATTCCTTTATTATCCAATAGATCTTTACTCCATTGTTTTCCTGTGGTAAAATATAAGTAACGATACCTAGAATACTCCCGGTAAAATGCTACAATGGTATTCTGTGCGCTTGCGGAATCCTTCATATTATATTTGCACTTATAAATACCAACAATAGATCACCCAGGTGTGCCTCTCCAGGTTCGGATCATGGCTTCAACTGGAGATGGAAGGAAGGAAGGCCACTCTGCCTCCAGTGGCGATGATGGAGGTGCCAAGGAGAATGTGGTGGATCTTATGATGAGGTTAAACTCATGGAGGAGGAAGAAGCAGTCGCGGATTTCTGCTATGATGACAAGACTGTGGATCCTTCGCCGGTTGAATGGGTGGTTATAAGAAAGGTCCTGTCGCCGGCGATCATCCATGTCAACACCGTTCATGTGGCTATGAAGCCCTTGTGGGGTAATCCATGTGGATTGAAGATGCGGGTGATCGGTGAGAAGGGCAGTAATATGTTTGTTGCGGAATTTGGTAGCAAGATGGACATGGAGAGGGTGATGGTAGGAACCCTGTGGATGGTGGGTCGACATGCCATGATCCTATAGAAATATGATGAACGGCTCAACGCATCTGAAACTGTGTTTGATCGAATGGAGCTTTGGGCTAGAATTATAAACCAACCTCTGGGATGGATGAACCAGCAGCGGGGAATTCGTGCCATGGGCTTGGCGGGCAATGTGATTAAGATGGATTATTCATACTATGGATTATTCGCTCATCAATTGCTTGAATAGTCATTTCTTTCATTTTTAATTTTTCGAATTGTTCTAGAGTATGGAGGATCGTAGATGTTGTCTTATGATGATACTTTGATGGTCTCAAATCATTGATAACAGTTGCAGAGGTGGATTTGTTGAATCAACACAAAACAACTCTGTGTTGTCCGTGCTATGATTGTGTGAATAATGAACAATAGTAGGGCCCCTCGCTAGCGCTTGCGTGCTGCAGCATGTGGCACCATCGAGTGACCAGCCACTCGATCGGTGCCCTTAGCCAAAGGCGCGCATGCACGAGACAACCCATGACAGCAACACGACTCTATTGACCGGCGGCGAGCTCGTGCAGGGCCATAGGGCCATAGTCTCCTCACCTGTCGGTTCAAAAACCCCCTTCACTGTCGGATTTTGAACCGACAATGGCATATCGGTAGTGATAGGGGGTTTACATCACTGCCGGTTCTTATAAACCGACACTGATGTGAAACCGGCAGTGATCTGGAAAGCCAAAAAATGCACTGAAAAAAATAGAAAAAAAATTTAATACCGGGAGAGGTCCCACCGGGCAGCTACATGGTCGCGCGTCACAGGTCACACGATTTTTCGCGCGCGGCCACCGGCGCTCGAACCCTTGACCTCCTGCTTCGCGTCTTCGGCCCTGAACCACTCCACCTGCAAGCTATTTGTGTCCAAACGAGATTTTCGTCCTAGCCATTTTATGTTCATCTGATTTTGAAATGAGTATTTGGAACCCTAAACAAATTCAAATGAAAACGTTGTCAACTACAAAGTTTTATAACTTTTCGAGATTTACAACTTTTGTTTTTGCTATTTGTCCATCCAAGGTCGTTTAAAAAATTCAAATTTTAAATTTTTAGAAATTCAAACATAGTTTTTCTTGACAAGATGATTTTATAAAAAAAGTAGTCAACTACAATGTTTCATAACTTATCGGGATCTAGAACTTTTATTTTGGTAGTTTCTCCATCCGAGGTCATTTATAAAATTTGAATTTCAAATTTTAGAAATTCAAACGTAGTTGTTTTTGACAAGATGATTTCAAATCAAAAAGTTGTCAACTACAAATTTTCATAACTTTTCGAGATCTACAACTTCTATTTTGATAATTTAGTCATTTACTCATTCGACATAGTGGTATTAACATTATTCACAAATATTACATATCCCTCTTATAGTTTATGAAACTATAAGAGGGATATGTAACATTTATGAATAATGTTACTATTACTCTATCAGACGAAGAAATGATCAAAATAAAAGTTATAAATCTTGATAAATTCTACAACTTTTATGTTCATGACTTTTTCAGTTGAAATCATTTAGTGTTCCAAAATAACGTTTGAAGTTGCTATTTTTTAAAATTCAAAATTCAAATATATAGAACACAGTCACATGAAAAGATGGATAAAATAATAGCTACAACAAAACAATAAATTGATAGAGCATGATTTAAAAAATTTGTAGAAAAAAACATCAAATTTAAAGTTAGTACGAGGGAGAAAGACTAGTTACAAGTTCTAGCCAGAGATGAAAAAGAGAAATCAGAGTTCTTCGACAATTTCAAAATTTAAATTAAATCAGCATTTTAAAGTAGTAAATGATTTCAAATGAAAAAGTTGTCAACTATAAAGTTGCATAACTTTTCAAGATCTACAACTTTTTGTTTTGGGCGTTTCTCCATCCGAGGTCGTTTGAAAAATTCAAATTTTAAATTTTAGAAATCAAACGTAATTTCCGTTAGATAGATGATTTTAAATAAAAATATTTGAACATCCAAACGATCTCAAATTAAAAAAGTTTGAACTACAAAGTTGTATATCTCATAGAGTACTACAACTTTGATATAAAGTTCGTCTTCATCGGACATCATATAAGAAACTTATGAAGTTTTCTTGTAGTATATCACTGTCGGTTCAAGCCATGAACTGACCGTGATAGTATCAATGTCGGTTTTTGGCTAAAACCAGCAGTGATGATCTAATATCACTGCCGGTTCTTAGCTAAAACCGACAGTGAAGACCTGAATATCAATGTCGGTTGGGCTATTAGTGTCCTATCACTGCCGGTTTTAGCCAAAAACCGACAGTGATGGGCTATCACTGTTGGTTTCTCAAAATCTGGCAGTGATAAGGTCGGCAGTATTGTCCAATTCTGTAGTAGTGCCTGTAACGAAATCATATGAAACATTCCCAAAGCAGAAAGACTCATCGTCACTACGTTAGATGTGCACAAAGGAGACACCCCATTTATTATTGACATGTATTCTAGGCGCGACTGTAATGTATGATTAGAGACACGTATTTATGGAACGTGTCTCAAATAAGTGGTTCCCCACAGTCAGTAGACATAGCCACGGCGGCTGTAGCCCACTGGGCGCTGGCCAGCAAGGAACACCTCGTATGTGCCTTGACCTTCCGTGTCCGTGGGCTAGTGAAGTAGCATGGGAGGCGCCAGTATATTGAGTTAGGAGAGCCAAACAATCCATTTGGTTTATATTTAATAAAGAACATCATTATTCCGAGAAAGGAAAAAGGAGAAAAAACATACTGAGCCAACAAGCAATTATACAGATTTATTATTGTTTTAAAAGGATCATATAAGATCATGGAGCATGGCTGTTTAGCATTAAACCGGCTGAGGATTTCACGTGCCCATAATTTTCTGTCTCATTGGGTGATCCCTCATTCCCCAAAGTGCAAAGGCAGCGGCATCCAAGGTCTTGGAGAGACCACTGCTGGACTTGGAGGTGACCTTCTCCGGCGAGGCCTCTGGGACGTACACCTCGACGATGTTAATCCAGAGCATCAGCTCCTTGATCTTGACACCAGTGATCTTCCCCAGCTTGCCCTTCTCGATGAATGCCGTGACCTCGGGGGCGTACGACGCTGTCTTCTTGATCTTCTTGAAGGTGTGCTCCACCTTCTTCCCCTGCACCAGCCAAATGAAGCCTGAGTGGCGGTTGTACCCGAACTCCTGGATGTCCTCCAATGGAAGGATGCCGTTGGGGAGGCCAAACTCCTCCAGCAGCTCCACGGACTTCTTCCTGCACGTGGCGTCTCTGGTGAAGACCTCTGCACCAGCACGGTGGCACTCGATGGCCTGGGACGCCATTGTTTCTTTGCTATCTGCTTTTACAAATGGAGCTGTGAGTAGCGGTGGGGAATAAAGAGATTGTAGTTGCAAAATGTAGCTGGCAGCTTTTAATAGTGATGAAGTGGTTTTGTGTGACGGGAGATGGAGCAACAGCGCATATATATAGGGCACGCAGCTTGTACAGACCGAGAAGCAGTGCAAAACGACGTGCACTCATGTATTGACCATATATTTCTTCCCACATCCTGCTGCAATAAATCAGTACTTGTAATGGTTAATTTTAGCCACTCAATGCAATTAAACACCATCGAAGTAGTATGATTTAGGACCTGCTGCCCATGAAAACGTGTCAATGAAGTTAAGTGGTTGTTTAGATATAAAAATTAAAAATCTGTTTCTAGAAAATATGTTTTACCATGACCCCCTCACTTCCATGTGGGGCCATCCCCTCAGGTGTGGGCGCTCTTGGCTTGATCGTTGTTCGGCATATGCCGGTGGGACCTTGTGTTCGCTGATTTCTTGAGTTGTGGGCCATCCAATCCATGGGAGACGATCTTAAGCCACTGAGAGAAAACACACTTTGTATGCAAACCTCACTAAACACACTAGGCCTAAACCTAGAGCAAGCGCATAAGCGGTGGCCTAACTAACCTAAGCACCTCGCAGAAACACCTACACTCGCAAACAATATTTGTTTAATGATCATGTTGATCATCAAATAACAAAATCCAAACTTAATGGCTCCTAGGGTCAATTTTCCTTACACTTATGCTGCACAATATACGGATACAAGGAGCCCATGAAAGCCATTAGCTTTTTTTTCTTATTTTAAATGTGATGAAGAAGTCTCCTTCCTTTATTTCGCTTATGACAAGAGTAAGCAGATTAATGCCTAGAATCATATCATCAGGTCTTCCTCAAGGATAGTAATCAGCGAGTGTCTCAGATTACGTCAAGCCAGTGTGTGAAAAACAAATTGTCATCCGTTTTTTTTTTTGACAAAAAGTTGATTCGCTCCGACACAAATTCAAAGGATTTTGTCATTTTGTTTGACAATCATTATTTTCAAACATAGATAAAGTTTGTTCGTAGACTGGATGTATGAATTTGATGATTACACGTGTGTATGGCTTGTTGAATATGATATTAAGCTTCTTCTCAATAAATATTGTTAAAACGCAATGTCATAGCTGGATGCAATAATATTCCAGCGGTGTAGAAGGTGATCAACGCTGAGTCAAAATTATTTACCAGTGGCAAGCTAATAGTGATCACCACCGGCTAAATGCATGCATGACCCCATAAGCCTGTTCGCTTAGTCGTATTTGGCTTATAAGCCTTGGCTTATCAGCCAACAAACAATATTTTTCTCTCACACCAAACTAGTCAACAGTACTTTCAGTCATGGCTTATAAGCCAAACAAGCCCAAACGAACAGGTGGTGACCAAAGGCTAATCACTTTGTTGATCAATTTGTTCATCATCGCCAGCAGGTTGAACCACTGACCGGTGGTGACCAAAGGCTAATCACTGCAGGAGCGCACACGTCTGACCGGCAGCGATTGAATGATCGCCGCCACTACCGGATATATCATGTTATAAACCGACAGCGATTACATGATCAGCAAGGTCAAGGTCGGTTCAAACTTCTCCAACCGGCCGTGACATAGCTGTTGTCACAGCCAAATAAAACCGTGAATGGGCGGTAGCAGATTACCACCACCGGTTTTTGAACTGGCAGTGACACACACACACACACACACACACACACACACACACACACACAAACACACACACATATATATATATATATATATACCCTATGCCAATAATAATCTAATACCACTACAGATATAAAATAAATGCATGGTAAATTAATTTATGATAACTAGATAGGATTGTCCAGTATCTTAATCAGCTAATAAATTATCCACTATGAACTTTTAATACTCATGTAACAAGATTCTAGGCAGGTCATGGGTTGATTAACTAGTACCCTATAAAGAATTAGTTTGCCCAGGAAGGTTCCATCCCTCCGATGGATCTTATAAGCAATGCACGGAACTATGACTAAAAAACTAATGCCGATGGATCTCATGGTGTGTTTAAGTCGTTGTCAGCAAGATATAGAGGCATATTGCGATCAGCTAGACATAGATAAATAAAATTATTTCATATGACATAAAAGATATAGTAGTTATTGTACTAAAGCACGCATATCGTCATCCGGCCGGCCGGCCTCTCTCTCTCTCTCTCTCTCTGAACTATCTTTATTCTAAGGTAGGTTGCAAGTACCTCCCAATGCGATGCAAAAGTATCCTGCCCCCACGTTTAATAACTGTTATTAGATGGCGCGTCATGCTGGAGCAGAACCATTTGCTAAAACTAGTACACAATTGATTCTCGCTGATGGTTGGTATTTTTTTTTAAATAGCAGCTTATAACGTATAGGCATCAGTAGAAATAGAATTGTGGGTCCAAGCCACGAACCACTGTAAAATTCATTTTTAATGGCTGCTTTCTTAAGTCTATTGGCAGTAAAATATATGATTTCTACTAGCGGTAACCTTAAGAAAACAACCAGTAAAAATACATTTATACTAGCGGTTTTCTTAACCTAGCGCCACTACAAATAATTTGAAATCAAATTTTTGAGTTTATCAAATGATCTCGTATGGAGAAATGATCTGAACAAAAGTTTTAGGATTCAAAAAGATCTACAATCTTTTCATTTAAAATCATTTAGGGCGTGGAAATTATGGTTTTACGATTAATAATTTTAAAATTCATATAGTTTTGAATTTCTTAAAGGACCTCGGATGGGTAAACGATCAAATGCAAAGATGTAGATCTCGACGAGATCTATAACTTTGTAGCTGAAACTTTTTTCATTTGAATCTGTTTAGGGCTTTAAATCTCTATTTCAAAATCTGTCGGAGTGAATAGTAAGGTGATATTTCTGCTGTTTAGTCACAAGAGACTTTGGGGTGTAGTGGTACAGGGGTGTGACGTGTGAGCCCTGAGGTGGTGAGTTCGATTATTGGGGGTCGCATATGCATGGATATCTTGAGAAAAACTGAAAGGAAATGCTCAAAACCATGTGTGGTTGCCTCGTGTGAGCCTCCTAGGATAAATTGTATTTGCTATTTTTTGAGGCCAATTTGCAATTTAAAAAAAAAATATTTATAGTGGCGGTGGCTGTTTTGTTAAGAAAACCGCCAGTGCAAATATTTGTAGTGGCGGTTTTCTAAAAGACGTCTGTGGAGATGGCGATTTTCAATGGCCTTTCACAATTACGGTCAGTATAAACTCCAGTGAAAATAGATTTAGAACCGCCAGTACTAATGTTTTGTGTACCAGTGTAACTCGTTGCACAGCTGTTGCCGTATTAGCAGTGGCATGGTCATGGTCACCACCACCATCTTTTTTAGAGAAAAGATTTTCCCGTCTTAATTATGCAATTAGTGCTTGTTTAGCCGCTTTCATATCTACCACAATTCACATGTATTGGAGTAGATTGGTGCATAAATTAGTTGATTTTCAACCTCAATCCACCCCAATACATGTGGATTGGGATGCATAGGAGTGCAGCCAAACAAAGCTTAAAGCTTTTAAGATTTACATACATCACTGGAAGTTCGAAACATATATATTGTAGGTGTGCCCGCCAAGGTTAGATTAAAACTCATCCACATTAGTCTCCAGTAACGAAATCATTTGAAACATTCCTGAAGCAGAAACACTCATGTCACTACGTCAGATGTGCACAAAGGAGACACCCCATTTATTGACATGTATTCTAGACGCGACTGTAATGTATGATTAGAGACACGTGTTTATGGAACATGTCTCAGATGAGTGGTTCCCCATGGACAGTAGACATAACACAATGTGATGACTCCACATCACATATGCATGCGTTTCAAATACAATGTCTGCCGCCATCAAGACAGACAACATGTGCCAATTAGACACATCTGTGAGATAATATGTCATCACAGATGTGTTTTTGGATAATATGTCATCACAGATGTGTTTTCGTACAATGCATTTCTGATGATTGGGGTAGTCATCAGCGACTCATTTTAACTTGACGCATCTATGATGTAAGTAGTCACCTTAGACGCGTGATTTGTGACCGACATCTCTGATGTCTACCTGCATGTATGAAGATAGGGGACAGTGTGGGGCCACAACAATGTGCCAACGTGATGCGTCTCTAATGTAAAAAGGCATTATGTGTCGCTGTTCCGATCCACGCATTGCACTGCATTTATCAGGGAGCCACCATCGCCCCTCGTGATCCTAGCTCTTGATCCGCTGCTGGCCGATCGGTGCATTGCCACCATTCATCCCATTTGCGAAGAGATCGACGGGTAGTCTTGTCCTACCCTTCCGTTCTCTCCTCACATGTAGGGCAAGCTCATGTTTAATTAGCTCAATGCTAATTCATCATGGACACACTTCTACCTTTAGGAGCACTCCTCTGCCCTCTTGCAAAGATCAACAACTTGCATGGATCATTATTAGAACACATCTCTAGCTTATTCTGAAGAAGCTTGCTTAGAGATCAGAGGTAGACATTGTTTATTCTTGCACTCATTTACTACGGATTATTCGCTCATCAGTTGCTTGAATATTGTTGAATAGACATTTCTTTCATTTTTAACTTTTTGAATTATTCTAGAGTAGGAAGGATTGGAGATGTTTGTCTTGTGATGATACTTTGATGGTCCTAAATCATTGATAACAGTTGCAGAGGTGGACATGTTGAATTAACACAAAACAACTCTGTGTTGTCCATGCTATGATTGTGTGAATGAACAGCAGTAGGGCCCGTCGCTAGAGCTTGCGTGCTGCAGCATGTGGCACCATCGACTGACCAGCCTCTCGGTTGGTGCCCTTAGCTGAAGGCACGCATGCACGAGACAAGCCATGGGAGCAACACGACTCTATTGATCGGCGGTGAGCTCGCGCAGGGCCATAGGGCCATAGTCTATTGTAACGAAATCATATGA